CCCGCGCGAACCCACGTGTGCTGCATGGGTTTCGCCCCTGTCCCCCCCAATCGCCTCTCCGAGTGCCCGCCGCCCGACTTCCTGCAAAACCGCGCCGCGGAATGGAGCCCCCCCCCCCGATCGCTGCAGCGCGACACCCGACCTGTTTATCGAATCCACGTCCACCCTTGAGATGGGGCTGGCCCGCGCCTTTGCGTTGCCTCGCGACGCATGCCCCCCCCCCCCCCGCGCGACTGCAGCGCAGGATTTCGTTCGATTAAGGTCATATTCGGATTGTCCGAAGTGTCGTTGGGGCGACAGGCATTGCAGCCCTATCGGGCCTGCCGCAGTGGTTTGAGGTCCGCGCCCGGCATTAAACGGCACTTCAAGCGAACCTTGGCGCTTGCATATCACGACAGCACCTGCGCATGTCTGGAGCTCCGAAGTGGCTCGCTACATGTTCCGATTGTTCTCTTGTGGGTACGATGCGTACTTCATGCGCCATCCACTGCGTTAGTGATGCGCGAGCGTGCTTGCGCAATTCAATGCGCCAGACGCGCCCCTTGCCAGGACGGAGCGCTGTTTTTGCCCCCCGAGCAACGAAAATGTCCATGGGGCAAAATGTCTGATCCCGGAACAAAATTTTGGCCCCCGGAGCAAAATTTGTGTTCCAACATTGATTTCGTAGTAATCTAATTTTGTAGGTGATCTTGCACTCGAATTGTCCATGTACTGGAGCACTGTGTGCCAAAACGCATGTTCTAAAAACTGCCCTGGCGTCGCGTTCGGCAGACATGCTTGCCTTCAACCGCAGGCCGCGCAGGCATCGTTAGCGAGGCCGCCTCCAGTCGCAGAGCTGCCATGCGAGTAGGCATCCACGTAGAGCCGTCCCACTGGTGCTATCGTGGACTCGACAGCGCCATCCTCGTCCAAGCCGATGACGTTGATCGACGCCCAACCACCAGCATTTTCCCTGGCCCACTGCACCAGTGCATCTTCCAACTGTTCGAACGATGCCGCGAGGCCTTCTCGAAGCAGTTTCTCCACCATCTCGTCTATGAGTTCGAACATGCTGACTCGCAGCAGAGAACTATTCTCCTCTGTCTGCGGGGCAATGTCGACCTGAGCAACATCAATCATTACGGAGGCTTCGTCGTCAATGCTGTTTTCAACTTGAACGGGCTGCTCCCAAACCTGAGCTTGTTCGTGATAGTGAATGTGTCCGGCGAGGACGCGAACGAGTTCACGAGGAGGTTGAACGCGATCTGTAACTTAAACAACTTCGGCCTGTGCTCCAGCGGGTTCGGCTGTGACTTGGACGGACGCAAGTAGTTCTGGAGCGGGTTGCCAAGGAAATTTAACAGGTTCAGCTGGAACCTCATTAGGCTAGCGACTGCGAGCGAGTTCAGCTGGAGCCTGGACGGGTCCATGTGGAATTCTAATGGGTCCAGCGGGTCCTTGAACGGGTTCAGCCTGATCGCGAACAGGTCAACAACTTGAGCGGGTTCAACTGGTGCTTGAACTGGTTGCGCTGGACACGTCCTCTACGCACCCCTCCCCTTGTGCAATAGTGCCGTCCTTGTCGCCCCTTTGGCCGCCACCCTCGTCAACCAGCGTCACCTGGTGGACTTCATCTTCCACCACGTCGTTCGACGCGTCTGGTGGCAGGAGTCTGGGCGGCGGCAGCATTGGCGGCTGGGGCTTGGCCAGCAGCTCATCAACGATGCGTATGCTCGCGAGCTGCGCTCTGCGCGCTGCTGACCATGCAGGCGGTGGCGTTTCATCGACGTCGTGGCGGTCACCTCGCGGGCGGCGCGCTCACCTTCCCGTGGTAGCCTCATCACTGCAAGGTCATGATGCACGATCCGCACCTTGGGTGCATGCGCAGGGCAGAAACTACTTCCAAGGGCAGGAACTACTTCCAAGGGTCCTGTGGCCACCAATGCGAATGCTTGACCGCGCGGTGGCCATGAGGAGGAAGGACGGAGGAGGAAAAAGGATGGAGCGGGAAAGAGGAGGGAGGAGGTAGAGGAGCATGAGGATGAGGCAGAGGAGGAGAAGGGGGAGAAGGAGAAGGAGAAGGAGGAGGAGTGACACTGGCAGAAAGAAAAAGCAAGGAGCGCAGCAAATGAAGGCAAGCCACCAACCAGCCCGCCTGCAACGCGCCTCTGCACGAAATACTAATCCGCCTCCCCAGCTGTGATTTCCAACGGAGACGCCACACAACCCGACATAATGACAACTAATCCCGTTCTACAGAACTAATGTGGCATCAGCTTTCGCAAACACTGGCGTTACACGATGGAGGGGATGAGGCATTGGGGCCTCCAAGGCTGAGACAGTTATTCAATTCTACAGCATCCCAATACACACTGCACACACTGCAGGAGTCAAGCACTAAACACAATGCAGAGGAGGAGGAGGCGAGGGACGAAGGGGCCACTCGCTTACGCAGCGCACTAGCTAGGTCAAGTTCGTCGGCCTCCCCCTGGATCGCGATGGTGTCCGCTGGGAAGGCCCA